AACATGATAAGATGAGACTTTGGAGGTTGAACACTAGAGGGAATCAGAAGGAACTAAAGATTACAATTAAAGGAGAAGAACACTTAAATTTGACTTACTAATACAGAATGAAGCAAAATATTGACATTGAACATATTGAAGGATATTTTTGCCCAGCTGCCTTCTCTCCCCTAGTTCCCTATACCGACCTTTTGTGCCCAATCAAAGCAGAAGTGCCTCGCTGCCTTTGCTGTCTCCTTTTTGGGCCTGCGGCTGCCATGCTACCCCAGGTGCTCCAGCTTCTCCAGTGAACACTTCCTACATGTGGCTGCCCAGCACAGCTGCCCAGTGGAAATAAGAATGCCAGCCAATGGGGAAGGCAGGAAGTGGTTTCACCCAATGGAAAAGTGCCAGAGGTTGGCTCAGGGAGCCATGCTACCCTGGGCGCTTCAGCTTTTCCAGTGAATGCTTCCTACACGTGGCTCCCTGAAGGTCAGCTGGGGTGGTGGAGTGCAGGGTGGAAGGGGGCTTGGAATGCATGGTGAGGGTTTCTGCAGCTGGGACTGGGATGTGGCAGCTGAGGCTTCCTGGGGTGTGGCAAGCAGCCCCAGAGCTGCATGGTTCTGGGGCTGCTTGCCGTCCTACAAGGCAGGGTGCAGGGCGGCCAAAAGGGAAGAGATGAGGGGGAGATGGATGGGGGGAGTTGGACACGTTACTGAGGCTCAGGGTTGGGAGGGACCAAGCCCAGAATGGCTTGGATTGGGGTGGGTCCTTGGCTAATGACTGGTGAAATTGGCTTAACAGCAGCAACGGGGATTGCCAGGATTTCTGTCGTTAAATGATGCAGTCATGTGACATCTTGCTTTATGACTGCATCACTTAGCGACAGAAATTCTGGTCTCAATTGTGGTCATAAGTCAAGGACTACCTATAAAGAATTTGCTTCAGGCATGATTGTCAACCTTAGACTTTTTGAATATTACTGAGCTTACAAATCAAGTTCAATCTGCTTTTTTTTTTTTTTTTTAGCAGAGGCACAAGTCAGCTATAAACCACCAATAATATTGCATTTTTTAAATTAAATATTATAGAATATTATGTTGAAAATGAACTTTTTAAAATACTTGTACATCTGTTTTACAAAATGTTTAAAGTTATCAAACTCATTGTTATGTAAAAATATTGATAATGTTTTATAGTTTGCTTTGAATCAAGTAGAATGTATTTCATGGATTGGGCTTTTAGAAACAAATGGAAAAAATGGAAAAAGTATCTGATTTCTGCATAATATAACAAATGATAGCTATTGATCGCATGTCAAACTGTTATGAGACATTGGCAATTCATTAGCACTACAACCTCATAATTAAGTTTGGTTTTCCCTGGAAATACTGTTTTTTTTTTCTGGCATATCTGCTGGCATGGTATGTAATAATATAATAATCTTTGAAGTTTGTACAGGACAGTAAGCTGCTAATATGATTCTATTTTATTTCCCTATATGCTTGCAAATTAAGTCCTGTTGGCTTCTGCCAAGTGTGTATGAATAAAGTAGAAGGCTGAGTAATTTTTCTAGATGATGCACCATGTAATTCAATACAGAACAGCATCACACTTTCCTTTACATGAAGCACTTTGGAGTGATAAGAGAGAGAATTAATTTTGTAATCCACTATCTGCTATTTTTTACATTTGAACCATTAAAAAAGCACAATATGTGGTTTATTTTAGCTCAAGAAGTTATAATTAAAACCATGGTTTGATGCTGGGTTATGAATACTGGCTTGTTTTAAAGGTGGTTTCTCATGTCTGACTTTTGAATCCTGGCACATTTATGGTTTGGCATTATGTCCCAGCCAGCCCATGCAGGAGGAGACTTACAGTAGGAGCTCTGAAAGAAAGCAGCACTTGGGCTAAACTGTCCTTGCCTGCTTTTTCCCTTGGCTTATCTTCTCTCCATGCCAGCAGTCTTCTTTCCATAGTTAATTTCTTCCTGATTGCAAGACTGAGTAGTCTGAATACCAGTGCCATGCCAGATATTTACATTAACGTAATAGAACAAACATGCCAATTTCATTGGAGCACAATTTCACAGAATACTTAAATCCTGCTATTTCCTTTTTAATACATTTATAGACATTTCTAAAATTCTGTTTTCACTTTGTCATTATGGGGTACTGAGTGTAGAT